GTCAGGTTGGATAGGGACATGGCTTTCAAATCTGCAGATGACAGGATCAGAACTCAAGGAGACCTTAGAGCTGGGCCAAAACTAACTCAATGAACTGAAATTGTAGTCTCTTGAGTAGTCTCTCTCGGGTGCTGGATGAGTGCCTGGCCGCTGTGGCTGTCTGGATGAGGAGGAACAAGCTGAAGATCAATCCCGACAAGACAGAGGTCCTCCTGGTCGATCGTAAACCAGACCGAGGTATAGGGTGGCAACCTGTGCTGGACGGGGTTACACTACCCCTGAAGTCACAGGTCCGCAGTTTGGGTGTCCTCCTGGACTCATCACTTTCGCTTGAAGCTCAGGCGTCGGCGGTGGCCAGGAGGGCCTTTGCACAATTGAGACTCATGCGCCAACTGCGACCGTACCTCGCGGATCTGGGCAGGGTGGTCCATGCCTTAGTCACCTCCAGATTGGACTACTGTAATGCACTCTACGTGGGGCTGCCCTTGAAAACGGCCCAGAAATTTCAGTTGGTTCAACGGGCGGCGGCCAGGCTGTTAACGGATGCTCCTTACAGGGAGAAGTCAATCTCCGGTTTAAGGAGCTCCATTGGCTGCCGTTCATTTTCTGGGCCCAATTCAAGGTGCGGGTGCTTACCTACAAAGCCGTAAACGGTTTGGGACCCACCTACCTGTATGACCGCATTTCTGTATACGAACCCACGTGATCTCTTCGTTCATATGGAGAGGCCCTGCTCACGATCCCACCTGCATCGCAAGCACGATTGGTGGGAACGAGGGACAGGGCCTTCTCGGTAGTGGCCCCTCGACTCTGGAACTCACTTCCCAAGGACATCAGGCATGCCCCAACACTGGCAGTCTTCAGAAGGAGCTTGAAAACATGGCTGTTCCAGTGTGCCTTCCCAGATTAAGGAATCCCAAGCAATATGTCCCAAACGCACTTTATGAGAGAGTTAGAAGTGTCTGCACACCCACTTACCCCCCAAAATATCCATCCTTTTTCACCTAGTCATGCCCAGCATTTAAAAAAAATTAATGATGTATTTATTGTTGTATTGTATTGTTGTGGTTATGTTTTTTGTTCTGATGTATTTTGGGCTCGGCCTCTTGTAAGCCGCACCGAGTCCTGCAGGAGATGGTAGCGGGGTATAAATAAAGGTTTATTATTATTATTATTATTATTAGTAGTAGTAGTAGTAGTAGTAGTAAAAAGGTAATATCTCTCTCTCAGCACCTTCAGGAGGCTTTCAAATGCTATGCTATGGACCTTCTGATGGACATCAGCTTTGAGTCTCCTTGAGATAGAGAAAGCAGGTTACAAATTCAACCAGTCATAGAATCATAGAGTTGGAAAAGACCTCTTGGGCCATCTAGTCCAACCCCATTCTGCCAAGAAGTGGGAAAATCATATTCAAAGCACCCTCAACAGATGGTCATCCAGCCTCTCTTTAAAAGCTTCCAAAGAAGGAGACTACTCCTAAGCTGGGTCAGGTTGGATAGGGACATGGCTTTCAAATCTGCAGATGACAGGATCAGAACCCAATGAGACCTTTGAGCTGGGCCAAAACTAATTCAATGAACTGAAATTGTAGTCTCTTGAGTAGTAAAAAGGCAAGATCTCTCTCTCAGCACCTTCAGGAGGCTTTCAAATGCTATGCTATGGACCTTCGGATGGACATCAGCTTTGAGTCTCCTTGAGAGAGAGAAAGCAGGATACAAATTCAACCAGTCATAGAAACACAGAGTTGGAAAAGACCTCTTGGGCCATCTAGTCCAACCCCATTCTGCCAAGAAGTGGGAAAATCATATTCAAAGCACCCCTGACAGATGGTCATCCAGCCTCTCTTTAAAAGCCTCCAAAGAAGGAGACTACTGCTAAGCCGGGTCAGGTTGGATAGGGACATGGCTTTCAAATCTGCAGATGACAGGATCAGAACCCAACGAGACCTTAGAGCTGGGCCAAAACTAACTCAATGAACTGAAATTGTAGTCTCTTGAGTAGTAAAAAGGCAAGATCTCTCTCTCAGCACCTTCAGGAGGCTTTCAAATGCTATGCTATGGACCTTCTGATGGACATCAGCTTTGAGTCTCCTTGAGAGAGAGAAAGCAGGATACAAATTCAACCAGTCATAGAATCATAGAGTTGGAAAAGACCTCTTGGGCCATCTAGTCCAACCCCATTCATATTCAAAGCACCCCCGACAGATGGTCATCCAGCCTCTCTTTAAAAGCCTCCAAAGAAGGAGACTACTCCTAAGCCGGGTCAGGTTGGATAGGGACATGGCTTTCAAATCTGCAGATGACAGGATCAGAACCCAACGAGACCTTAGAGCTGGGCCAAAACTAACTCAATGGACTGAAATTGTAGTCTCTTGAGTAGTAAAAAGGCAAGATCTCTCTCTCAGCACCTTCAGGAGGCTTTCAAATGCTATGCTATGGACCTTCTGATGGACATCAGCTTTGAGTCTCCTTGAGAGAGAGAAAGCAGGATACAAATTCAACCAGTCATAGAATCACAGAGTTGGAAAAGACCTCTTGGGCCTAGTCCAACCCCATTCTGCCAAGAAGTGGGAAAATCATATTCAAAGCACCCCCGACAGATGGTCATCTAGCCTCTCTTTAAAAGCCTCCAAAGAAGGAGACTCCACCACTCTCCGGGGCAGAGAGTTTCACAGCTGAACAGCTCTCAGAGTCAGGAAGTTCTTCCTCATGTTCAAGTGGAATCTCCTTTCCTGTAGTTTGAAGCCATTGTCCCATGTCCTAGTCCTAGAAAACAAGCCTGCTGCCTCCTCCCTATGATTTCCCGTCATATATTTATACACAGCTCTCATCATGTCTCAGTCTTCTCTTCTGCAGGCTAAACATGCCCAGCTCTTTAAGCTGCTCCTCAAATGGTTTGTTCTCCAGACTCTTGATCATTTGAGTTGCCCTCCTCTGGACACATCCCAGCTTGTCAACATCTCCCTTCAATTGTGGTGGCCAGAATTGGACACAGTGTGATTTCCTCTTTTCTGACCAAGGCAGAATAGAGGGGTAGCATGACTTCCCCGGATCTAAATACTAGACTCCTATTTATGCATGTCAAAATCCCGTTGTCATCATATTGTTGGCTAATCATAGAATCATTGAATCATAGAGTTGGAAGAGACCTCATGGGCCATCCAGTCCAACCCCCTGCCAAGAAGTAGGAATATTGCATTCAAAGCACCCCTGACAGATTGCCATCTAGCCTCTGTTTAAACACCTCCAAAGAAGGAGCCTCCACCACACTCTGAGGCAGAGAGTTCCACTGCTGAATGACTCTCACAGTCAGGAAGTTCTTCCTCATGTTCAGATGGAATGCATTGCAAATCATCACAGTAACAACATTATAGTTATGAAGTAGCAGTGAAAATAATTTTATGGTTGGGGTCAGCACAACATAAGGAACTGTATTAAGGGGTCACAGCATAAGGAAGGTTGAGAAACACTGGCCTAGAAGGCAGAAGATCTCTCCATTTGTCTTTCTCTTCCTTTTTGGAAACAGAGGGCAAATCCCAAAAGCCCTCCTCCACTGTGATTGGCTGGCCTCTCAGCCAAGAGGAGGGCTGTTTCTGAGACTCCAAGCAGGAAGGGGAGGGCAGGTGTGCTCAGGAATGACTGTGTGGTACACATGTGTAGGTGAGGGAGAGTGCACAAGGTAGGAGGGAGGCTCATGCCAATGAGTCCCTTCAAGGTATGGGGGTTCTGTGTGGGAAATCTGGCTCAATTCTATTGTTGGCTTCAGAATTCTCTTTGATTGTAGGTGAACTATAAATCCCAGCAACTACAACTCCCAAATGTCAAGGTCTATTTTCCCCAAACTCTACCAGTGTTCACATTTGGGCATATTGAGTATTCATGCCAAGTTCAACTCAATTCCATTGTTGGTGGAGTTCAGAATGTTCTTTGAGTGTAGCTGAACTATAAATCCCAGCAACTACAACTCCCAAATGTCAAGGTCTATTTTCCCCAAACTCTACCAGTGTTCACATTTGGGCATATTGAGTATTTTTGTCACATTTGACTCAATTCCATTATTGGTGGAGTTCAGAATGATCTTTGATTATAGGTTAACTATAAATCCCAGCAACTCCAACTCCCAAATGACAAAATCAACCACCACCAACCCCACCAGTATTCAAATTTGGGCATATTGGATATTTGTGCCAAATTTGGTCCAGTAAATGAAAATACATCCTGCATATCGGATATTTACATTACGATTCATAACAGTAGCAAAATGACAGTTATGAAGTAGCAACGAAAATAATTTTATGGTTGGGGGTCACCACAACATTTGGAAAGGGGTCGCGGAATTAGGAAGGTCGAGAAACACGGAACTGATATAAAGGTAGTTGTTTAAAAGGACACGCGGCCAAGTCTTTTCTTTTCGTCTGTCAGAAAATCCATGCCCAATTAAAACAATTGAGGCTTCCCAATTTCCCACAAATAATATATTTCCTGCTCCCCATTTCACGTAGACTTTTCTCACTGGGACATTCATACAAACAGAAGCACACCTTTGATAGACATTGTCTTCAACTCAAACCACGGCCTGTCTCTTTAGTTCCAACTAGGATAGACTACTGAAGTGTTTCTCAACCTGGGGGTTGGGACCCTGAGGGGGTCACAAGGGGGGTGTCAGAGGGGTCACCAAACGAAAATAATTTTATGGTTGGGGGGTCACCACAACATGAGGAACTGCATTAAGGGGTCACGGCATTAGGAAGGTTGAGCACAATTGAACTATTGAGTTCTCTATTGATGGATGCATCAATAAATAAGTGAATCCCATTGTTTGAATGGAGCTACACTCGGTTTCGGATCCTGTTTTAATTGAGTCAGGATCAAAGTATACACAATCCATCATATTCTAAGGTAGAGAAATCAGGGTTGTAATAAGATATCGTTCTTGATATATATAGCCTCATCTTTCCAAATAAATGTCACCAACCTGGCATAAGATCCCATTAGAATTAGAACAACATTTCTCAGAAGTGCACAGATGTGTAAGTCATGCTCAATTGGTTACACCAAACTTCACTGCTGGGTGGCTAAACTGTTATTATTACATCTAAATGTCTCCTTTTCTCCAAGGAAATATATTTTCCTTGCAGACCCACTTTGCAAGGAAATTCCCAGGTCCAAGTCACTCACCCCAAATCATAGCGGGCAGCTTCCATCTCCGTGTGGCAACAAATCCGCTCCGGGTTTTAGTCTGAACTTTCACAAACAATCCAAGGTGCTGAATCCCTCTTCCCATTATTTCTCCAGAAAAGTCTGGAGTAAAATTTACAGCAGATTCATGATCTAGGTTTCTCTCTCAGGTTCATCTCGCGATGTGGCACTACCCGGATTCCC